CATCAGCTTCGGGCAATCAGGGTGCCTGAGGAAAGGCCGGGTGGACGCCAGCTGCTGTGTCGACAGTATGTACAACAAGGCGTGCGAGTTTCAGGAAAACGTCATCACCGGAGTAGTCTGCTGTAGAAATGATCTCGGTAAGTGAGTTGCGCTTACCTCATTTGTCTTCGTTCGGCAAACTGTTCGCCGCCACGTTCGTACATAGTCCTTCGAGAGGCGACGATTTCTCGTACGTTCGTATAATATCGATGAGATATTCGGCGGCTTTCGGTAAAAGCCTATTTCACAACGCGTTCAATGACTAAACTGTTTAAAACCTATACGGTCAAATTGTTCATTTTGAAAACAAACGAGGTTTGCCTCTTTGTTGTCTACCGTGTTAACCCCGAAACACCCAGCTGTGCAATGTGTGCGTTCGTTACTGTAATTTTCATATGAGCAACGACCTGCGGACGTGGTTCATCGATTGCTTGTCCCAAAAAAAATACGGAGACGTGTGGCAAAAAAGTATAATTAAATCTCATTCCAAAGATTAATGGGCATGCAGTAGCCACCTACACAAGTTGTACCATCCTTATTTTCAAATAATACCATGATTCATCAGCAGTACGAATGGTATAGTTCTTTAGTGCTGCATACACGGTATGAAATCAAAGCATTCCGCAATGCATACGTATCTCAAAACGAGCACTCCTTTCATAATCTATGTAACTAGAATTGGAATTATTAGGCTCAATTTACTTTTACGTACTGAAAAACAGGACACAAAATATGTTCGTTGTAAATAACGTTTTCCACCGTCGTGTTGAGCGACCGAGCGGCCTGGTCTGTCCCAAGGGTACTAGTCATCAATCATCGCCAACCACCTGCAATTGGTGAGCGTGGCTACGTGTCCGGCAAACTGTAGCTTCTGCCTTCTGCTTTCGACTACCACCTCTTCACTCCCATACCTTCTCTGATAGCCGTGTTAAGAATGTGATCCCGACGTGGCATTTCGATCATTCTTTTGTGCTCGTTAAGACGCCTACCGGCCCCCCTTTTTCTGTGGATCTCTCTCCTCTGATCACGCGGCATGTTGTCCTCTTGGCCCACATTAAAGTATTCATTGGCTTACTCGATCTGATGTGTCTTCATTTTTTCGAATTTTCGCATTTCTACAACATTAGTTGATTCAGCTGTTCGCCATTAATGTCAGTCCTACTGTCTGTCATTCATCGTCCAGAATACCATTTCTGAACAGGTAATCAAATATTGGGGGGAGGGGAGATGTTGTTACCTCGTTTCATGCCCTTCTCCACCGGAATCGGGAGGGCATGCCGAACAGCGTGATTTTTTGAAGCAACCAAAGTTCTTTGGCTTTAGCAGGTTGGCGTAGAGGGTGTCGATATCCTGTTCTGCCGGTGCAGTCCACACTGAGTTGTACTCAGCAGTTTTAACCGTTTTCTCTTAGGGCTATGCAGGGAGGGAGCTCAGATTTCCTCTCGAGCTCCAGGAATTGATTTAAAATAAACGTTATCTGTTGTACTGTAGCGCCTTTGGAATCCTGCCTGTTTTCGTGGCTACTGCTGTTCGTCCAGACTTGTTGACGGTCTGTTGGTGATGCTCCTGGTGAAGAGCTTGCAGACTTGTGAGAGCAGACAGATTGGATGATGGTTTTTCAGATCTTCCTTCTCGCCCTTCATAAACAGAACGATTGTTTTTCTTTTTTTCATCTTACTGGGGGCGTTTCCATTTCCAAGCAGCAGCTGAACCTCTCCACTAGAGCCCTCCACTGCGTTCGACCACCTGGTCTGATTATTTCAATTGTCAGACCGTCTCTCCACGTGAGTCTTCTTTCGGACATTTGCTGCGCAACGTGCCAAACATCGCTTATGAACGGTGGTAACACTCCCCATTGTGACAATTTAAGTGACGATATGCGTGTATTGCAAGGAGGCTTGTGTCTTTGACGCAAAGAGTTGACTGCATGCATTTTAGTTGATGGGCAGCATCTAAGCACTGTCAGATATTAATGCGCCATGCTCGTTTTTCAACGCCGTCCGGATCGATCGATGAAGCACTACCTCCCTCGATGTCCTCCTTCGGCTTCTGTCCAATGAGGTTGTAGAGAGGAGAATGCTCAAACCTGTCAGACCCATCTCTTTTCATCTTCCTTCAGTTCTCTAGCAACCTCCTTGTTTCTTGTGAGATCCCTCTTTTCGTTTTTCATGCTATTACCCCGGCTGGCTTTACACGGCGCCTCATTTTCTCCGCGAACTCCTTGTAGTCCT